GTTCGCGCGAGTGTGGAACCACAGCAATATGGGTGTCTTTTCTAGCTAAAATCGACGTTCCGGACGCGTCAGCGCAGTCCGTTTCGTCATCCGGGGTCGTCCGGACGAGTTTGCCGGCGGGCGAGTCAATTTAAGCCAAAATTGCGCGTGATGCAACAAGTGCGTTGCTGAGTCGCCGAGGGTTAACCTAAGGTCGTTCGATCCTATAGGAACTCATTTTCAGACCCTCTGCATGTTGGTCCTTAGCCCTTGCAACTAGAAATTGAGTGCTTGGGACCACTCGTGCGAGTTTTCACAAAAATGAGTAAAGAAGCGGTTTGAAGTTCTATGGGAGGTGGGCTCCGTTACTAGTCCGCTAGGATGGTCAACCAGAAACTCCTAAGGCTAGATCCTAGGTTCTAAGATTAGAAGGCTAAGACCTCACTAAAAATGAGGTCAACAACTATGAAGAACCAAATAAGAACTATTTAACCTGCTAAACTTGTTTTGGATTCTTAAACCACATTTTTATACGCCAACTTCAATTTTATAATTTCTCTGTCCATGTGAGATCGGATTAAGGCGGTTTTGTTTGCTTGTTACATTTTATGCAGCGTGAGAAATGCGGATTGTGTTGTTTAAGATTTATTTTAATTATTTCATCTTATTTAATTTTAGATTTTCTAAATGAATTATCCTTTTGGATAAATTTTGGATTATATTTGATCTTATTTTTTAAACTCTTCTATAAGAATAATGTCACATTCCTCAAATATAACCTGAAGTTTTGAAATTTTATGAATCCTTATGCCTTTGCTTATGTGCTTGCACACATGGCTGAAGAAATTACAAAGGGCATAGGCGTTGATGTGGCCATGCAAATCAAGGAAATTCATTTTGAGTGTACGCTTATTTGGGGAGTGTACATTTCTTCAGTCTATAAATAGATCATGATGTCCTCTAATAAATTAGAGTATATTGGATGAAAGGAAGAATTCTTTTGGCAATACTCTGGGATTTTCTCATCAATGATCCACCCCCCACACCCCTAAAGGCTACATTCTATCTAAATTCCTCTCTTCACGACCCCTTTGGTTCTCCTCTCCTAGATCCACGTTATATCTTATCACCATCCTCCTTCAATAACATTTATTGCACTCTTGTACATGTGTGTGTTTTTTAATACTCCTAAAACCAACAATTGCCACTTACACCCTCACACTCGCTTGTCGCTAACCTGCACCTATCACCACATAACCTACATCTTCCACTCACCCTTGCTTGCCTTCTTATCTATCTTGAGCTTGCGAATTGGATCCTAGCTCCACTCAGCAAACCCCAAACCTCTTTGAATCATATATGCAAACCCCAAAACACTTTGCATTCATTATAGATGTAGTTAGAGATTCACGTTTGCTTTGTATGCTTTTTGAGCTAAGTATTTTATCAGCTTCATCATCACCAGCCTAGTCCAACATTGTGGGTCAATTTTATGAAGTTTTATGCTTTTTTTAATTGCTACATGTGGTTATCTTCATTGCTATCATTATCATTTTTTAGCTATTTTAATTGAATGTTGTAAGTTTGTTATGAGGGGTGTTAAGCTTATCATTCATAGATCTTTTTGTACTACTTTAATCATGCTAACTTAGGTTTATCATTTTGACTTTCTAATTGTTTAATCAGCCACCCCTTGCTGCCTTGCTGTTTCAGTTACCCATAATCGCTGCTGCTCCTCATTCACAGCCCGAAAACCCCATCTTTACCTTGCCGCTGCCCCCACCAGGCCCTCTAACCGTCACCACCTTTACCCGGGATTCGCCCTAATGTGAGTTTGCGTGTTTTGTGTGTTGTATTTTTCTCTTCAAGTGGTTGATTGTATCTGCCTATTTATTTATTATTATTGTTTTTATTTTTTCGTATTGTGTTTTGGACCTAGGAAGACTTGGGCTTATTGTATAAAAAATGATCTTAATTTATTAGAACTAAATGAAAATATGACACTAAATAGGATGCAATGGAGAAAATTATTTATGTAGCCGACCTCACGTAGTGGAATTAAGGCTTTGTTGTTTGTTGTTTATTGTGTTTTGAATTAATCCGGCATCAGTTTGTTTATTTGTTAGAGGAACATTTTAGTCTTATTACTATTACTCAATGTTGAGTCTGCTATTAGCTTTTAAGCTTCTTCTCCTTCCATGCTCTGTTTGTTAATGTAGGATGCTTTGCCAAAACTTTCTGCATGAAAAGTAAGCGCTTGGCAACGATTTTGGATAGTCTAAAATATGGGCTGATGTAATTGGTCTAGTCTTGAGAAAGTAGGACATAAATTAGCACTAAAATACACACGCATATCTAAAAATTTATAATTATATACTTGCATTTGAAAAGCGTCAATGTTATCATTGATTTTGCACTCTATTCTACATTAGGATTCTCCGTCCTTCAAAGCATTTATTTTGTTACATTTTTCAATCTTTGTTATTTAGTTTTATTCAATCTACATCTAATGAAAATTATAAGGATGTTCATGAAATAATTCTTCCACCTCCTCGGGTATAGTCACTAGACTTCCATGAAAGGTCTTTGGTACGACTTCTTTGAAAAACCGTGTTTTTAGGACGGGGTAATTGATGTATTGAGGAAACTGCGATTATAAATTAGGAAAAATTACAAACATACCACACAGTTCTTATGTGCTTACATATCTAACATCTAAGTTTGTTATTTACATGTATAACCCCTTGGTTGTATAAAATTATACATGAAAAAGTGTATTTCACTTTTAAAAAGTTACTAATAGTGGTATATTTTATGTCATGTTAAAGATTTCAGTGGTATGTATGTAAATGCCCCTATGTTTTATTATTAGCTTTCCCTAAACTGTGAAGTGTATATATTTGCAGGGCGTGCTTGCGTTGCGCGGCATGCACGATGCGCAGAACAAGCCCGTCTTGTTTTCTTCATGTAATGACGACACTGTTCGCCTCTATGATCTTCCCTCGTAAGCTCTCCATACATTCTCAAACAACAAAGCCCTCATGAAAGTAGTTCATCATTATAACATCTTCTCTCCACCACCATTTTCTGTATAGATTCAGCGAGAGGGGTAGGATCTATTCAAAGCAAGAGGTGAGAGCGATACAGGCTGGCCCCGGCGGACTGTTCTTTACTGGAGATGAAACTGGAGAGATTAGGAGAGATTAAGGTCTGGAAGTGGTTGAATGAGGTTCAGGCAGTGCCACCATCAGCTTGACGAAGGAAACGGAAAATATTAATTGCTTTATTATTGTAATCATATGTTATTATTTCATGCATCTTTTATGATGAAGGAAACCCAGTCGTGATGTGATGAGTGTGAGATGTGAAGGCAATGGGGATATGTTTTTTTTTTTTTTTTTAAAGTTTTGTTCAACTCTTTTGCGTTCTGTTATTATTGACTATAGGGAAGGATTAGATCATGTTCGTTCAAATTAGTAAATAAAAAAAAAGTTCAATAATTTTTAAATGCTCGAAGATTAAATGAAGTAAATGTGAACTTAATCGAATTTGTTCATTTATTTTAACAAATAAGTTTGTTGTTTAATATGTAACTTGTTAAATATTCGACATTAAGTTCGATGATAGTTCATATATATTATTTAAATAAAATATAATTAATTAGAATATTAACTCATTTGTTAATAGTTTGATGATAATTTGTATCATATATAATATATGAACACTTGATATTAAATTTATTTAAGTTTTAAAGATATTATGTAGGAATTAAGTTAAATAATATTTAAATGTTATATAAATTATTTAGCTGAACATCCCCTAGTGATGGATTTAGAGCAAATTGGAGGAGAAACAAGATTTAATGTGCTGCAGAATTTATAATTATTAATTTTTTTGTGTGAAAATTTTGATACTTATTTGTATTGTTCGCTCGTTTATATTTAGATACTCGTTCATTTGTTATACACAAATGAAGTTCAAATATAAAAAAATTAAATAAGTCTATCTTGAACAATAAAACTAAAAAAAAGATATTAAAAAGTTTATTGTATTTAATTAACGTTTTAAATTTCATATTTATTTGTATAATGCTTTTTATAATGAGTTAGATATGTATAACTAATGCTACTTGATTTAGAGTGAAATATATGTTCTGATGTATATTTTTTAGCCATTTAAATACGTACAACACAATTCTATGTATTTACATATTTAACACCTAAAATTTCATATTTACTAGCGTCTATTCAAATCTTTAACCCCACATCAAAAATACTACCTTTACTAATATTTTTAAATGTGAATTACATATTTTCATGCATAGGATTATGATACCAAATTGTATAAGTGTAAATATCTAAGGTTAGCTGTTGAAAATATAAATTCATAAGAATTGTGTGGTATGTAACAAAATACATAATATCATTTTTGTTGTTATACAAGTAAATATAACGATTTGTTTAGAGCTTTGGTATGTAAAGGCATATATAATTTACGTTATGTATGTAAATAATAATAATAAAAAAAAAACCATCTGGTAATGCATTTACATTATCAATTAAAAGGGTAAGCCAAGAAGAGTCATAAGCAGAAAGGAGCTAGAGCAAGAGGCAAAGAAAATGTATTGGGTCAATAGATTTACTTAAATCCTTATGAAGAGAAAAAATTAAACTTATTAGATTTAATTTGAGATTAATATAATGACACGGGATTTGGGGCTGAACTTGCCCCAATTCAGCAGGAGAAGGTTCGGTCTGACCCCTTCTCCCTCTTTTCATTGGATGAGAATTATTCCCCCATCCCTGTTTTTATTTATCATTCTATCCATCTTCTAATTATACATGTGTTGCTCTCTTAGGGTTTAGATTTTGAGATTCCAGTTTTTTTTTCTAGAGCTATATCCAAGGACGAGTTGTGCTTCGGCTATAACTAGACCTAAGGTGATGTGTATCCTTCGCTCCAGCTTTCCGTGGCCTTGCTGCAGTCCACTTCGCGGTTACCATGCTGCCGTTCCTCCCTTTCAATTTTGATGATTTTAATTCAATATCATCCAAGTTTTATTATTAACATATCCTCATTTTGTGTGTGCGTTTTTTACATATGTTTTAGATGTATTTCAACATCGATAAATGTTCTATGTCTAACAAGAGCCTCATAAAGACAGATGACACGGACACAGAAAATCAAAACTTCATTTATAGAAATTCTTTACTCCTTTACATCAGCGGATTAGCAAAAATTATTGCGACAAAAAAATAAGGTGAACATCTTTTGCTGTCAATTGGCAACCATTGGTGCATTTCGCACTGCACAAGAATTAGTGGAGGCAAAAATGTTACCACAAAACAAGAACAAGGAACAAAAAATGAAAGAGAAAGAAAGAAAGAAAGAAGATCAAGATTAATTTTTTTCCATACTAATCAGCTAATTTAGTTGATGAAGATCTCGGAAGTAGTTGTAGATATCCGGTCATCATGGCATCGGCTTGCTCCTTTGAAACCGTCTATGGTACCTTTTTTCAAACATTGCTGCACATTCAGGGGAGATCTGAGCTGCAGCTCCAGCAACGCATTTGTGATAGGAGAAGTCCTCAGTAGTTCCATCCTTCCTCACCAAAATAAAACACTTGGATCCTTTATGTTCGGAGCTATATCCAACCTGAAAAAAATACACCAGTGAAAAAAGGAGATAAAAATCAATTTATGCTTTACGTCAGTGAAAAGCCAGTGTGGTACTTGCGTTCAGCTGAGGGAGTACAATATTACAAGACTTATAGGGGCTGCTTGGAAATCTGATGCTTATTAAGATATATTAAACCCCGGATTTACTAAATCCTGAATGAGTTAAAGCCGGAAATGTGTGACAACGGATTTACTAAATCCTATAAATCCAATAGAACTGTTTGTCAATTTCAGCAAGGATTTCAGTAGTATGGTCAGTGGAGACAATCGGAAGCCCGCAAACTTAAATCCCAAGCCCTACAAACTAAAATACACTGATTCACATAATTTAGAATATACGGACTTCCAGCCGAAATATAAGGATTCCGGATTTACAGATTCGCAGGATCTATTTTGCACAAAAAATGACCGTCTGACAGTATTCAGATTAAATCCTTCGTAAATTCAGCATAAATACAAAGCCAGACAGCCCATAAGGTTTGCATGTCATGCTGAAAACAAGGCATCAAAATAGTCCCCTCACTCTGTCGTATAAGGTTTAGAGCTAGAGTTTATAAAAGTACTAAATTAGTCCCGCAAGGCTAAAATAGTCCTCCTTTGATATTATTTCAGCTCATATTAAAAGAATCTCAGAACTAATTCAATACTTTTATATACTTTAGGACATAAATGACCTTACATAAATAGTCAGGGGACTATTTCAGCACTTTAGTGTGCTGAAAACGATAAATGTGGACCCAAAGATTTAGGATATCCTTCATAAAGATAAACTTAAAACCACTCGGCAATAAAGCTTTGATAGACAAGATGGAAAGCAAATTCTTAAACTCACTTTCAGGAAGGCCACTCAGCGTTGCTTATATTTGCTTCAGAAAAATAGTTAAGCAAAAATGTGGTTATGGGTTGCCAGCTTACAGGATATAGCATAAAAAATGTGTGTTTTGCCTGGACTTTTTGCAGAATGAAAAAAAAAAAAAAAACAAAACAAAACAAATTATGTAGAATTGCTCTGGGCCCAACACCTAAACTGCTAGTCTTTGCAAACAAATGTGAAACAAATAACGCAAGTCCATTCACCAACAAGCATTTCAATTTTAAACCCAGCCAAGCACAAGCAATGCTAGAACTAAACTAAAACTGAGCAGACTTGAATAATATCTCAAGGCTCATGTTTGGATTAAACCCCATTAACTCTTGAGATTTTTTAGACAAGAAAGAGTACCTTTCGGTTTAACAGATTAAAAAATAAAATAAAAAACCGGGCACACAACTATTTCATACTTCAAGGAGATTTGAACTTGGTGATAAGTAGGGGAGCAAGCTCTGCAACTCATCTATGCTTCTGTGGGAGGAAACTCAAAATGCCTTAGTTATTTAATAGGTTTATTTATTTATTTATTTATGACATTTTAAAGATAATTATCTTAGTTAATTTAGAGCATTCATCAATATATAAACCCATTTGTACGAGAATTATTGGATGAGGATAACTCATACAGTCCTATATATGTTTACCCGGGGAGCACAAAGCAATTTATTTGGGAAAGAAAATAGAAAGAGGCCAGAGAAGCAGATTACGGGAAAGGAAACAAAAGCTTTATTCCAATATATCGATGAATACAGTTACAGAGACATATAAATAGGTGGTCAGCTTAATACAAGAGTACATAATGAGTACGGTAATTAAGCCATAAGCAGGAAGCCCATAAGTAATCTCATAAATATAGCATACAACTTTGTTATTAGCCCCCCCAAACTAATAATATTTGGAGGAGATACTGAAGTGATCCAAAAAGTCCTCGATATATGGATGGATTCAGAAAGAGATCAGTGGAATTCTTGATGGAAATAGGTTGAGTAGGCGACGGTTTGCACACCATCATTCCAACACGACTTAATATCTCATGAATGTAGCTAGTCTGATTGAGATGATAGCTATACAAGTGCGGCTGATAATGATCCCATGAAAAGTGGAGACCAAATCCAGATATTTAATGAAAAAATAGGCTTGTAATTCTTGTTGACGTTGCTTCATTTTCGTGATATCATTGCTAGTTAAAAAGATGTCGTCAACATAGAGAAGAAGAGTGTTCAAGATGTTGTTCCACTATCTTGGAGCTTGTTTGAGGCCGTAGAGAGATTTTTATAAAAGGCAGACGTAGGAGGAGTGAATAAAAACTTTTTAACCAGGGGGCCAATGAATGTAAACAGTTTCTTCGAGTTGATCATGTAAAAAGGCATTAGACACATCCATTTGAAATACTTTCCAGTCGTAATGAAGAGTGATGATGAGAAGAAGACGTATTGTTGGAATTTTAACAACGAGGCTGAAGGTGTTGATGTAATTGAGACCATACTCTTGCTGATAACCCAAAGACATAAGACAAGCTTTGTAACGGTTAACTGAACCATCAGTATTCCGTTTAATTTTGTAAGTCCATTTTCTTCCAAGTGCAGGTTGATCAGCGAGCAGAGGAACAAGCTTTGAAGTGTTTTATTGGAGCAAGAGATGATATTCATCGCCCATGGCTTGTGGCCAATGAACAAATTTGATATCCTAGTTGTAAGTACGCGGCACTTGCTGGAGAGATTTGTCATGTAAGAGATCAAGTATAATATTTTTGGGAAAGGGACCCCATTTGACAACGAGTAACAGTCTGATGTTTTGGAGGAGGTTTGATGGAGGTCTGAGTGGTTGTTGGAACAAACTAAACAAAGGAATTTTCTCATATAGAGTTATCGGACAAAGAAAGGGATTGTTGTTCGGTTGGAGCAGTAATAGACAACGTGCATGTAGGAGCAATAGTAGAGAAGATTGGCTGAGTCGTGGAGTTGGGGAGAAAAATAAGGGTAGAGTTGATTGAAGATGCTAGCGAAGAGCTGAGCGTATTCGGCCGAGACCTGTAAGGATAAACATATTCATTGAAAGTAACGTGTCGAGTAATAATCATCTTGCTAGTAGAGGGGTCAAAATGTTTATAATCTTTGATATTAAAGGGGTAACCTAGAAATACACATGGTAAAGATCTTTGCTACAATTTGTGACATTGAATGCGAGGTAGCCAAGGAAAGCATTGGCAGCCAAACAATTTGAGAGGATCATGATGTGGTCGGTGCCGTAGAGAAGTTTGTAAGGGGAGAAGTTTTTAGTAACCTTGAGGGTAAGCAGTTGATTAAATAGACGGCAGTGTGAACCATCTCATGCCAAAGGGAGGGAGGTACGTTGTAGTCAGACATTAGTGCCCTGGTTGTCTCCAATATATGTCGATGCTTGCGTTCAATGATGTCATTTTGCGGAGATGTATAAGGACAGCTCGGTTGATAAATAATGCCAAAGGTGCGGAGTAAACTAGTTAATTGACGGTTGGTACACTCCATCATTATCAGTCCGTCCTTTGATTGAACTGAAGTTCCACTTTTTGTTTAACTTTATAAATTGTGTAAGAACTTTAGATTTGTTAAACATAGGATAAAATCAAGTATAGCTAGAACAGTCATCAATGAAAAGCACATAATATTTATAACATTAAGTTGAAGTGATGGACGAAGGCCCCCAGTTATTATCAAGTACTAACTGAGAGACAAAAATCAAATTATGGGAGATAAAAGGAGTGTGAAGAAGCTTAGAGACAAATAGCTTACAATTTGGAGTTGGTAAAATTCCTGTTCTCGAGGGTTTGATTGGGACAATGTTTCCATTACCTAACATAACAGTCTCATTTCCTTGACAAGGTTTTGGTTAATGAATCTAATTGTAATCCGACGTGAGATGCGAAGTAGCTCCGCTATCAAGATACCAATTGAACTGATGAGATGGAGATGAAGTGGATGAAACCGAAAGTGGGGCTTTGGGTTGATAGTTAATGTTGAAGCGATGCCAGCAGGTAGAAGCAAGATGACCAAATTTATTACAGATTTGACAGGTAGTTGAACCAAGAACTTTGTACGAGGGATTAGCAGAATAAAAAATTCAACGAGAGATGGAGAGAGGGCTTTTGCCTTTTCCCCTGTAGAGTTTTCCTTGTTTTTGTAAGAATATATTAACAATTGAGGGATCAGGTTCCATAGATAAAGATTTGGCTCAGAAGAGATGTTAATTTCTGAGTAAAAGAGCATATAAATCATCAAGACTGACAAGAGTAGAACACATTCAGATAGCCATCTTGAAAAAAGAATATGATGTCGGTAAGCCTTTTAAGATATAAAGAATTACATCTTCGATATTAACTTGGGAACCTGCAGCACATAAGTCATCCACAATTGTTTTAATCATCAGGAGATAGTCATGGTGAGGTTATGCATAGAAATATTGCTTAGCTCGTTCTTTAATTGAATCTGATCAATAAGCTACAATGTATTGTAGAGAGGATAGGTAGAAGAGATGTACCCGAAGCATTGAGGATCTTGGGAGAAGGGGAAGGATTGATGCCCATCAACAAAACCCCAAAACCCATTTGTTTTGGTGATCATGATGATTTGGGGCCTCCAGATTTGATAGTTGTCTGTAGAGAGGGCGTGGGTAACCATGGATTTCACGTTAGCCAAGAGAAGTTTCAAGAAGAGAAGGATTGGATGTTTAGAAATTCCAAGATTTATCAAACCATCCAGGATATTGGAAGTGTCAAACACTTCCATGGCTACAACAACTTCTCTGTTTTAGCTGAAAAACAAGATGAGCGGAATGGGAAATCTTGATGGAGAGACAGATAGCAGCGCTGAAGGACATCTCAAAGGAGCTCGAAAATTTGCGAGTGCGAGCAGAAGCAAGACAAACAGAAGAGTAGATCGAGAGAAAACAGAAGAAGAGAAAAGGATCTCGATGATCCTTTAGAGGACCCACTCTGATACCATGAAAAAAAATAGAATGAGATATTTTTCATAGTTCAAATGAAAGAGCACTATACCTCAAACCCTGTATCTATCCCGAAGGATAAACACAAGACTTGAGGATGAGACTCGATCAAATAAACTCAGAAA